AATCCGTTCTCTCCGTGGCATTTATTCTCTTGTTCTAGAAATATTCCGGAAGCATGCTAGGTCAAGGTTGACCGGGACATCTACGTAGAACGTGTGTAGCTTCTGGAAGCCTTCTGGAAACTTCTGGTTCCTTCTGTAGCTTCTGGAAGCCTTTCTGGAAACTTCTGGTTCCTTCTGTAAGCTTCTGGAAGCGCTCTAGATCTAGGTTGCAGTTGATACTCTTCTAGAACGTAGGAGGGCTTCCAGAAATCATTCTGGAAGCATTCTGGATCTTTCGTGTGATTGGCTTATTTGTCCGGTATTCGAGAAGAGTGGTGCAGCCCTAAGCTCGTCCACTCCTCTCACTCCTCTTCAGTACCAGCAACATCTGACTCGGGAGTCAGCAACTAATACAAGCATCTTCATATTTCTATTCCAAGTCTCTCGCGGTTGGAGCCGCACAGAGTGTGAACCTCTGAAGTAGGCTACACAGTCTACCGGCATCTGCAGCATCGTACTGCTGCTAGTGCACAGCGAAACATTCGCTGACAATACATCGACGGAAAAGCATTTGGTTCTCACGATATGTATCGATGAGATGTTAAACGATGTGTTGCTCTTTGCGATACAAACAACAAGTTGTTGTGTACTGCTCTCCCGATATATATCAATGTATTGTATGTGGTATACAGTACGTATCTGTGGGTATGACCCGGTACGTACCCACTTTCGCTCCCCCAAAGTGTACTGATTTTAGGATAGGGCCATTATTATAAAGGATTTACCATGGAATGCAAAGTATATTGCAAAAAGAGTAATGGTGGCCATGTGTGGGGCTGTACCATTTCCCCCATTGATTGCCCTGACCATTCCTCTTGTCGATAAATAAACGTGTAGAGCACGAGGAATGGTGGCCCATGTAGTGTGGGCCGAGGGTGTGGCCCTTACACCCTGGACAATACTTAGGCTAATCGAATATTAGTCTAACAATATAGTTGGAATTTCGATAGTCGATGCGTATTTACAGTAATCAATATGATGGTTCCGGGTGCATCGATATTATTATTGTGAGCAACGATAGATTGAAACAAAAATGTGTCGCTTCGACCAGCACGCTTTCAGTTGTTCGTCGATGGATATTGCAAGGTAAGCTATGTTTTTACCGAATTCGATTGATACATCTTGGACTACAATACGTATCGATCAGCAATGCCCCACAGACTTTTGCGCGCCGAAATATGCGTGCGACAGCTTTAACCTAACCACTTCGGTGGAAAGCGGATTTCTGTTCGATACGGTGTCAGGGGTACCAGGGAAGACGGGGCCGAGATTTGTTTGATTTCGGGTGGATGAGGTTGGGGCTTTGTTCGTTTTTCTCCATCTAAGGTTCGTGCCTAGAGTTCAGCTGTAGTGTTTCAACCAAAGTTTTGTTGACTTAGAGGCAAACATTCCTAGCTGTTGGGCATCGAGTTAATTTGGCTTGGCATGACGGCCTTTCTTTACGATCAACTTTAATGTATGTCTGCATTTATCTACAATTGTCGGAGGGCAAAAAAAATAATAAAAAAAATACGTCGACGATCGTAGTGATCAGTACCTCTCTATCGTTCAAACACTATCTATGTTGATACATATCGCACGCTTCAACTATTTTCAACGCGAAAGAAATCATGCCCCCAAAACTTTTTCGCGCTCCGCGCGAAATCAATTTTATGCATGAGCAGAGTTACTGTAAACGCCATGGGGGGCGAACCAAAACAAACGAACGGACGTATCGATTGCCTGGCACGAATATCGATCGATACTTACTTTCCGTCTGCATTGAGCCATGCGATATCAAGTGATACCATTTCCACGAACGAACACGTTGCTTGAACCAATAGAATGTATATATGTTGATCGAATTTCTCCGAATATGTTGAACCAAACGATATCAACTGATGCCAATTGAATACATGTATCTTGGTAGCAAAATGTAGAGTGGAAGGTATTCTCCCGTTGTATCGAACCCATCAATGCATATCGATTCCAATTTTTAGTATTGATTGGAGCAATAGACTATGCAGTAATATCATATTGTCCAGGGTGTGACGTGTAGACGTTTGTTTGCCGTACCGACTTGTCTAGACTAGTTACAAACTATGATATTCTGTGTATGAAAATTGAGATAGCATTCCCTGCTGTTGGAAGTTTTTTATGTTGCACCTTCGGGGCCGCCCAACGCCCCCCCGGTAGGGTATCGGTAGGGGTATCAGGTATACGCACTCTCTCTCTCTCTCTCTCTCTCTGAACTCTCTCTCACTCTCAACTTAGCTCGATCGACAGCACTTCGGCTGCGCAGCTCGCGTCGGCTTATTGCCAGTGGGTTATGGTTGGTTTCACAAATAAATGTTATCTAACTGCAACGAGCCGCAAGAATGGTTTCGTTCTGTTCGTTGCAGCAGCCAGCAGCCCAACCAGTCAGTGCGTCAGTGCAGAGTAGTTGCAGTGCGAGCCTTGGTTACACTTTGATAGTAGGGGAGAGCGGAGAGCCGCGTATCTTGTCCGTCGTTACACTGGGTGGCACGCAATACGTATGGAACTCCCTGGGGGGTTCGCAGCTGAGCTGACTCAGTGTATTCACACTTTTCGGCCCAAATCTCGCAATCGCGCCGCGTCGCGCGCTGGTTGGACAGGTTGATCAGCACTTCCCAAGAGAGAGAGTATAACGTGTTGCAGATGATGGCGAAAGCAGGAGTTTCCATGCTGACCTTTATCGCGGCTGCCGTCGGGCCTGCGATGGTGGCCGGCTTCGCGCTGTCGCCGAACGCGATGAGTACCGGGGCCCGGCCCAGCTCTAGCCTGAGGATGGCTGCTGCCGAAGGCAAACAGCGGGTGCTCGTCATCGGAGGCACCAGGTTCAGCGGGCTGTACCTCACCAAGGAGCTTCACTCCCGGGGGCACGAGGTGTGTGCACTGTGAGCCTGCTATGCGGGTGTACGTGTACGTAGAGGTGTTGGTTTCGGGGGAGTTGGTGCACGATAGATATGTCGTACATACACGGCAGGAAACAGAGGCAGGCATGATGCGTGTGTGCGTACGTGCCTTGCGCATGTTTTCTTGCCGAGATCTGGTGTGTGCTTCTGTCCAGCTCTTGTCCTTTGTTGCTGCTCCCATTGAGGAGGACTTCTGCTTGATGTTCAAATTTCAAGTTCATGGAGGACGCAGAGACAAATAAGAGAGCAACAGACCCTCGTATCTCGTGTCTCATGTTGTCGGAAGGAGGAAAGCGGGGTGACTTGAACAGACGAAGCGGGGTGTTTGAAAGAGGCACAGAACCCTTGAAGGGCCTGCTTTCAGTGCAATCTTGTCAGTCTTTCGATCTTTCACGTCGTGTGTGACCCTGGATGGTTGTTGTTGTACGAAAAAATACAGTCAAAAATGTAGTACTCTACATGCACTGAAACGTGTGGTACAGATAGCGCCGCACTAAGAACTTAGCAGTTAAGAAATTGAGACTCGAAAAAAACAGTAGCTTTGAACTGGAGCACCATTTGTGAGCCCGGTTAAGAACTCTTACACTAAAACATATATTGCGGCCATTTGTAGCCCACAAGAGGATGATCAACAAAATAAGAGCCCCAGCCTCGGCCGAAACTATATAATAGAGGTTCTTAAGTGCGGGCGCCATCTGTATCGTAACAGTCGGAGAGATGGCACCCCCGTGTTAGCGTTTTTTTTCAGAGCGTATTTCTCCACAACCAGGGGGAAACCACTGCCGAAAATTGTAGTTTTGGAAACATCTCGTCGAGAGCTTTCCTGACAGGTATCGGTTGGCGTTCGCACCCTCCTAGTTGTGGAGAAATACGCTATAATAAAACGCTATCACGGGGGTTCCATCTCTCCGACTATTACGGTACACGTCTCACCCGAAAAATGGAGGGACTGTCGCCGTCATGAACAGGACGAAAACAACAAAACAGCAAGTCGTGATTGGCGGTGTCCACTACGGTTGCAGACGGCCTTACAACCTCACCTCAAAATGTTGTTCGACTTGTCGCCAGAGGCGAAATAACATGAGCACATGCATACAGGTAGATAACAACGGATCACCAAAGCAACCGGTCACACACTACGGCAGTAAATGCAACGACCACATTTCGGGGCAGGAACTAAGAACATGTACATACCGTCCGTATTTGTGTCTCCGTATGCATACGTACATCCGTATCGTGGCCATCACTGCTGTCGACAAGCGAGAACCTTGTTGTTGTTGCTGTGCCGTTGCTGATGCCGCCGGCCCTGCTGCTGGTGGTTGCTGCCGGTCGTGCGGTATAGCTCTACAACCGCATACACAACTGTAATTGCGTCTCCGTTGCAAGGGATGGGCGGCCATACAACATGTAGTGTCGTGGCCATCACTGCCCGAGCGAGAACGTTGTTGGTGGTGTCGTTGCTCATCTGCTGCTTGCTGCAGGTAGTGTTGTACAACCGCGGCCAGACAGCCAACAAGCAGCTGCCGTGCGAGTCCGATGCCGAGTACGCCAAGCGCATGGAGGACGTCAAGACGATCGTCGGCGACCGGAAGGACCCGGAGGTGAGCCACAAGCTTGAAGGCCTAACCGCAGCCGACGCAATATACCACACCCCTTTGGACCGATTTTCAAAGTTCCATTTCTTCACAGCACAAAAGGGCGACAAAGCTGAAATAATTTCTCCACAGCACAAAAGAGTTAACAATGCTGGAAATATCGGCGTCGTGCGTGTTTTCTTGATCAAGCATCGTCCGCGCGTGCGCGTGTCTGCTTCACCTCATGTGTGTGGTGTTTTTGTCATTGGCAACGACCGCGCCAACCGGCTGACCAATGGCAAGTCAGCGTCAGTGCTGTTGAGAACACAAAACTCGTGCGTGTCTGTGTGTGTCTTTATTGTCAGCATCGAACGCGCTAAGCTGACCACTGAAAATATGTCAGCCTCAGTGCGGTTCAAAACACAAAACTCCTTAATGCCATGAACTGGGACCCGGTGAGGGGGTGGCATGGGGGAGGCTAACCGATTCTCCAGATCGAAGATAGAAACGTAGGAACAGAAGAAAACTGCACGTGTATGTGCGTGTGTGCACCGACGAAACAGGTATGCCAGTCAGCTCTCGGAGGGGAGAAGTTCGACGCCGTGTTCGACATGAACGCCCGCGAGGTGTCGGACACCAAGGCCGTCGCCGACGTCTTCAAGGGCAAGGTGGACCACTACGTCTTCATGAGCTCCGCCGGGGTGTACCTTAAGTCGGAGCTGATGCCCCACAGGGAGGTGAGGGGTCTCGGTGTTATCCGTGGCGGGAGTTGTTGTTGTTGTTGATGTTGCTGCTGTTGTTGCTGCTGCTGTTGCTGCTGCTGCTGCTGCTGCTGTTGTTGTTGCTATTATTGTTGTTTTGGGATCTTTCCGCGAAGGGTCTTTCGGCATACGTTCCCATCTTGTTTTGTTTCCAAAAATAGTATGTCCGTGTGTCCGTAGGTCATCCGTTCTGGACAAGTTCGATCAGAACTTGTACACCCTGCCATGCAACCTCGACTATGAGTACACCCCCCCCCCACCCCCCCCCTACTCTCTGCCGGAAAGCAACAGCATCAACGGCACCAGAGGCGTACGTAAAACGGCACGGACTCGGAACTCAACAAGAGAATATATTACATTTTTTCCCCTCGGTGCAGGCAGTATCTCGCTGTGCGTGACCCTATTGCAGTGTGGCCTCTGTATGCCGTTGCTTGCCCTGTTTCGCGGTCGGAGCTAAATCATCGACGATGTCGGACGACAAATCACACAAGCGCAAACAAACACGAGTCTACACGCACCAATCGCGGTTGGAACTAGTTCATCAACGATGTCGTACGACATATCACACTAGCACAAACAAACACGAATCCAAACGCACCAATCGCGGTTGGAACAAGTTCATCATCGACGTCGTACGACATATCACACGAGCAACAATACACTAACACTACTGCGTCGTACGACGTATCACACGAGCAACAACACACCAACACTACTGCCTCCGCGCGCCAATCGCGGTCGGACCTATCCATCGACTAGATCAGACGGCAAATCACGCACGCTCAAACAAGCACGAATTTCTTCGCGCCAAATCGCCCCACCTATCGCAGGAAGATGCCACGGACCCCAAGAGCCGACACAAGGGAAAGTTCGAGAGCGAGGCCTACCTCGCGGAGATCGGGATGCCCTACACCTCCATCCGCCCTACCTACATCTACGGACCCCTCAACTACAACCCGCTGGAGCAGTACTTCTTCGAGCGCCTGGACCAGGACCGCACCGTCATCGTGCCCGGTGAGCGGGCGAGAATCGTTCCTCGGAACGGTCGTAGCGAGGGGGTGGTATGTCGAGGACCGTTCCCTGCAGAGCGTGTGGAGGCGGGTGGTTGCAGGTGGTTGTAGGACAGAGCCTGATTGCTCTTCAGGACGTTGTCATTGGGTGGGTGGGTGGGTATCATGGTTATGAGTTTCTTCTTTTCTTGTTGTAACGTCGAACCCGTTTTTGTCGTCGGAGCTTTTCTGGTTGGACGGAGTTGCAGCTCCTCGCGGTAGGCGTTCTATGCATACCTTGCTCACACCCCACGGGAGAGCACTTCAGCGTTTTTTTTGTCTGTGTGGCACCGTCCTGCGGGATCGGACTTCGATGCGAGGTCTGTTTCAGCAGCGGGCAGTCTGTGTTCAGAGTGCGCCGCAGGCTAGCCACATTTTGGCGACACGGTAGCGTGCAGACAGAAGCAAAGCGCCACGCCGCCGTCTTCAGCTTTTGCTCATGACCGAACCCCCCCAGACGCGGCTCGTCCCCCTGCCCTATGGGAGTAGTACCATCCTATGGGATATATTTGTGCTCTGTAAACGGCACGCAAACCTACTGCAGGAATTGTAGGTGTGCCTCTTCGGGCTTTTGTACCCTTTTCTTGCTAAGTGTGAGTATTCTGCGCACCTTCTGAGGACTCTGGAATTTTTGTGACCATGGACCGAGTCTTCGCTAGATTTTGGGATTAGCAGCTGACACGAGTTTCATGTGAAAAGACCACCACCAACAACAACAACAATGGTTTCGGAGGTGGGTGGGGGGTGGTTAGCGCCAGGGTACTGTGGGCGTCTGTGAAACGATCGCCGCTTGCTGTGCGATTTTCTTTATCTTTTGTTGTTGTTGTCAGGGCACGGGCAGCACTTGACCGGGCTCGGACACGTCAAGGACCTCGCAAGGGCCATGGCCAACGTTCTCGGAAAGGAGTCCGCTAAGGGTCAGGTCTACAACGTCCAGGTTGGTGTGGCCGTCGTTTCTGGTTGGCCGCGATGGCGTTGCTGTAGGCAAGGTCATGTTGCCGGGGGCTACTGTACGAAGTCGTGCTGCCGTGTTAACCGTAGGTGGCATGGCGCAAGATATCACACCCCCTGTACCGATTTTCGAAGCTCGATTACTACTCCACAGCAGAAAGCGTGGCGGTGCCGATAACGACTGCGTTGGAAGAACCATCACGTTGAGATCATTTCGAAAACGACCCAATTGAGTTTGGTACCCTCTTCTTCGTGGAGTAGTCGAGCTTTAAAGAATGGTCCAGGGGGTGTGATATCTTGCGTCACCCACGGTACGTGACTGTTGTAGTACTCCTGTTGCTGTGGCGGTTGGTGGGGCCGAAGCCCCGAGCTTGTTGTGTGCACCGTTGTCGTGCTCCTGGCGGCATTTTGTGTCGGCCAAGTTACGGCAAGCTGTCCTCTCGTGTGCACCGCGAAGAAAAGGCGTCTTGTAACGGGCGCGTCCATCGATCCCACCGCGCTATCACTGGACGAACTTCCAAAGGTGCAGCTCGTCGCCCCGTCACCTCCAACTGGACAAACAGGAGCCCCACCCTGTCCTCCCGCCCTATGCCTGACGTGTGCCCTCTCCGACGTTGCACGTGCCATTCCGTGCACGTTTTTTTTTTATTTGCGGTCCAGGACAACCGTGCGATTACGTTCGACGGCATGGTGAGGGCGTGCGCCGAAGCCATGGGCAAGGACCCCGCCGGTAAGAGTTGCGCTTTTGTCATACCCGGTTTAGTGGGCAGGACCCCGACTGACGCGAGTCGAGGGTTAACGTTTTATATGGACACGGGCAGTATTGTTGTGTGTTTGGGGGTTGCAACACTTGCCTCCCTTGGCTGAAATTCGTGATTTGACTGAAATTTGTCACAGGTTTGTTGTGTCCCCTGTGTATCCTGACGGTAGAGTGGTGGTCCCGGCTTAGTGCCGGTATGTGCCCGGAAAATTCATCGGCGCTATACCGGACCGGCATTATTCAAAGTATTGAGAATGACACCGGCACTATACCGGGCACCGGCACGATTCAACCCGCACTTAACAGAGACCTCTACTGCTGTAGTGTATGCCTTGAAAAATAAGCAAGAGTTGAGTTTTTCTTTCGGAGATATGTTTTCCCTTATCCACCCGCACCCACACACATCTTCTCCCGTATTTGGACACTGCCGCAGCTAACACCCTGCTGCGGTGACGAGTGCCGAAAGGTTCGCGCCTTCTATCAGGAGATGCGTTGAGGCTGGAGGCCCGCCCAACAGCAGTAGTGGGGGTAGAGGGGTGTTCATGTTTTGCTTGCCTTAGCGGTTAGACCACGCGTCCTCGAAAGGACGGAGCGTTGTTCCCACAGGACCGATCACCGATAGCCAATCGTTCCTTCCTACTTTGCCGCGGTGGAGGGGGAATATCCAATGCAGCACAGCAGAGAAGCGCAAGTACGAACTTGAGAACCTGAAGACCAGGGAATTCTGCATCTCAAACGCATACTATCATTCCATTTTCTTGGTTTTAGACACGTCGGACACGCAGGCCGTGTTGCGTAGCGGTCATCAGGCGATGCCTGTTCCCTGGGTATATATCCTTTGGGTCCTCTCGAGGGAATGGGTGAACCTGGCGGCGCCTCTCTCTACGAAGCATGGCCTTTCCGTTTCGTTGCTATGCCGGATTTTTGTTCTACAGGGTGCATTTTCGGGAATAAACACCTGAGAATCTGACTTGAAACCCCGGGCAAGGTATTGCAGCCCGGCTTATTTAGTCAGGTCGCACGTAGCCTTTCTGACGCCTCTCCGGAGATAAGCGCCTGCGCCTGTGTGTTCGTCTCTTCTCTGTCGTCGATGGCGCTGCATCGCCTGCTGACCGTGAATATGCGCCAGTCTTTCGCATGGCGGAGACGAAAAACGCTACCACATGTTGATGTAATGTGTCTGTATTTTTGCGTGTGCGGTCGGTTCGTGCATGCACACCGCTGGAACAAAACAGCGGTCAAGATCAAGCACTTCGAGCCGGCCAACTTCGACTTCGGCAAGAAGAAGGCCTTCCCGATGCGACCGGGCCACTTCTTCGCCAGCTGCGAGAAGGCCATGACGGACCTGGACTGGGCGCCGGAGTACAACACCGTGGACGGACTTCGGGATTCCTACGAGAACGACTTCGTGCACAAGAAGGTGGGTTGGTGGTTTGATGCCTCGGGGGAAAAACCACTAATAATATGTCGGTAGATATGCTTAAATGAGTCTAAGAATCCATCCGGTTTTCTTTCCACTCGATGCGAAGACTTGAACACGTCCATCCCCTTCGATTGATGTGGTATTATCTCGAACGGGAAATAGTTTTTGTTTGATTGTCGTTCTTGATGTCGTGAACACAGTCTATCTCGGGCACATGTATGTAGTCATCGCCAACAGATCTGGCCGGTGGTCAGCACAAGCCAAGGAGTAGGGACACGCTTGCCGCAAGGAATCCGAGCAAGTAAGAAAACTATGTGCTTGTAATGTGCGCGTGCGCTCCTACTTGTGCCTCTTTCTCTCTTTTGGTAGTCATACACACTAATCGATTTACGTCTTGATCTCGGTGCAACGACAGTTTCTCGTTCTGCACGAAGCCTTGAATGTATTGTGATTTACACAGCATGCTCACTTCTAGGTCCTGAACCTGGCTGTTCATGCACGGCGTAGCGTACCCCAGCTGGTTGGATTTAATTTTGCTGAAGGCGAGTGACGCCCATTCCGACTTTCTAAACATCCGAGTAAGTCTCCAATGCATCGTTCTCAGACCGCCGCCACCATCGAATCGCGCTTCGTTTCTAATGGTTGCCGCCCTCCAATACCCCCACCCCCTCTCTCCTGAACTTCGAACTCACGCCCCCCACTGCGGCGTCTTCGTGTTTGCCCCCCTCACGCATCGCACCCCAAACACTTCCGGCTGCGCATTCTGCGTCATTGCTGTTCTTTTCTTATTTTCGCATTAATAGGCCGCCGGTGGTCTGAAGAACGACTTCGAGTGCGACGACAAGGTCCTGAACGACCAAACCATCGGCAACCTCCTCACCAGATGATTTGATTGACGATGACCTGGTTTGATGAATTCTTTCTCGTGTGTGTTTTGTCTTGTCGCTCGATAACCATGCGTGCGCGCCTACAGCAAGGTGTAGTCGATCGATCGACGCAAAGAAGAGGCGTTAATCGTGTCGCCCTAGAAATTTGCTTCTCGGTGTTGACATTTGTCAGCAGCATGCGAGGAGTGACACGGTATACCATAGGTTGCACAAGATATCACACCCCCTGGACCGATTTTCGAACCTCGATTTGTCGGCAGGAAAAGCAGTGACGATGCCGACAATGGCGGCGTTTGAACCGTCTCGTCGAGAGCTTTTCCTAAAACATATCTTTCGATTTCGGCATCCTCTTCGTCGTGGAGTAATCGAGCTTTGAAAATCGGTCCAGGGGGTGTGATATCTTAATGCAACCTACGGTATCATCGAGAAGTCGCCACGTCGGTGTCGTGCAAACGTTAACACAACTTGATGGATGCATTCATAGCCAAACATGGATGGATTCACGTCGCTAGATCGTCTGGTTCTGCCGGTGTGATAGCCAGTACAGGTCAACGAAAACTTTCGGTTCTTGAACGGTTCAATCTGGGGACGATCTGTCGTGTCGGGTCTGCATGATGGTCACCGGGTGGATGTAGGTTGGTTCCTGCTTTTGGGCTGGTCTCCTTGGTTTTTTGCTTGGTCGAAAAACCGGTTTGTCGACATGCGTACGTGTGCACGTTGGGCCTGGTCAATCGGATGGATGGTACGGGTGCCCTGCCCCGTGTCCTCTCCTTGTTCACCTCGCCCACAATACCTTTCGCGTTTGATTTGCACCGCAGTGAGAGGTTGGTTGGGACGTGAACCGAAGAGATCGATGTCAAAATAGGATTCTAGTGCTTCGGCTGGCTTGAGCCCCCTGGAAGGGCGGCTGGCTTCAGAACGAGGTGGAGAACTGTGAACCTTAGCTCTGCTCCATAGGGGATGATCAAAACCCGCGGTGCGGCAATTGTCCAACGCTTGTACGAAGCAGCGTACGCCTGTGCTGTGCCAGTTACCTTGTCTTGTGTCTGGAAAGTTTTGAAGGCAACAGAAAAGAAGCTTCCAAAGCTGTCATCTAGATGCATGAATGCAACGAAGTAGGCACATGGCACAGGATCCCGAACGGAGCGGGGTGCAGGTTTGCATTTTCATCCGGCTTGGCGATCACCCTCGGCGCTTCCCGCGTTGAAGACGAGATGATGGCATGATGCGTGGTCATGATGCGGGCCGGTGGTCGAACAACAAGCAACATCGGCCTTTTGACACTTGCGGTCGAACGGCTGGGGTTCGGGAAACCCTTCCTGTGGGCGAACAGCTCGTTGTGTATCTAAGGTGCTCAATTTACCTCCTTGCCTAAACATCTAGATAGGCACTACTTTTGCACGTGACCGAGAACTGGTGAGAGAACACGTGACCGCGGAAATAGAACTCTGCCTTCTTGTGCTGCTACCCGCTAACGAAGCTGCGAACACAAGCAGTGCGTGACTTTTACAATCAGAGCCGTTGCATGCTGATATTGACGATAACACCCTTATTGCGCCCACCGAAGTGCGGATGTTTGGCTGCTTAACCTGCGTGGTCACATACAACAAGAGACGCTCAGCGGTCGCGGTTGTTGAAGGGGCACCCCAGGTAGCAGGCATGCCGGTTTGTGATTACCCGGTAGTATGCTATTCGCGTACCCCCTTTGCTCGACGCTCCGGTGCCCTGCCATCTGCTCGCACAAGCGTAGCTGTAAAAACAAACTGAGAGGCTCCCTTTGGCGCCAAGCACAGCAGCACACAAGCATCGGGAGGTACGGTCTCGCCTTCGCGTGGTCTGGGGAGAAAAGTTTGTCTCGAGAAGCAAGACGGTGGTATTTAAATAGCAAAGCAGGAGAGGCTAACAGCACAAGATGGACGACGGCCCTAAGCGATGGGTACCTGACGAAGAAGCGAGTCGCTGCTTCCTTTGCTCGTGCAGCTTCGACGTAACTACAAGGAGGCATCATTGTCGGTAAGCAGCCAGCCCCGCTTTGTCCTCTTGCAATGTGGTACGCTGGACACAACAAAACCAGTGATCCGTGACATTGGGGGAACTTATTCATCCGCACGCCGCAGCAGCAAGCTGCTTCGATCACCGTCACCAACGCACGTCTGTGTCTCCCTGCTGTTCTTGTCTTGTCCTTTCGGAGCTATTGTATGTCCGCTTTCTTACTCCCTTGAGTGCTTGGGTTGAGTCGTCTCTCCTGCCATTGTTTGACAGAAAGGCCCGAGGTGAGGCCATTTCAAGAGCTAGCTTTCACGGGCAATTACGAGGCAGGTGGCACAGCAGTAGGTTGACGCTGTGAAGCTGTCGGTGCCGCCCAACTCCTCTTGGCCGAATCGTACGTCATCACTTGTGCGGCGAGCGCATGATGGCATTTGCTGCTGACTCGGGCTACAGGCGCTACCACGTATGGCTGGACAGCAGCACCTTAAAAGTACAAAACAATCTGTGCTGTCGAAGTCCGTATGGTTATGTATGGTATTTTATTTTGCTCCTCTCAACCTCTCAAGACATGGTCGGCAACTTCCCGGGCCGTTCCACCGTCCCAAGCGCACGATCGCGAACTTCGCTAGTTCCGCCGTGCGCGAGGCATCGCTACATATCCCATCAATTCGCAATACTCGAGATTCCCGCGCTTTAGGTCGACGTTGGTGCCAGCGTGTGTCCCAACCCCCAACGACGAGTTAACCTCCGCTCTTCCTGTCGCGCTGGCTCTCCTCCTCGGTTTGCTTTTTTTTTGGGTGTCGCCACGGAACCCCCCCCCCCCCCCCTCCCCCCAGATGCTGTGGGCGCGTAGCCTGTGCCGCATGCACGCCGAACAAGGCTTTGGTGCCACTCAACGATGTGAGTTTCGCGACGTTTTGTGGTTTATTCGCCGCGCACGAGATGGGGCAGAGTAAGAGCAGGGAGTTCAGTCGAGAGGCATCGCTTGCTGTAGCACGTAACCTCAGGCCTGACGGGAAACGTACTGCATCGTACAAGAGAGAAAAGTAAGGTAAGGCATGTTGCGTCCCAGTAGGTCACTACGTAGGATGGCCAGGTAGGCGATCCCGTTTTTGCATTCGGTTGGTTGGACGGTTTTGGCAGTCCGTGGAAAGTGTACGCAAGGCCCGTCGAGTTGAAGTGGAGATGTTCAACCCGCGCACCCCGCGCAAGGAAACAAGAGGCGGAGAGAGAAAGGGAGAAAGAGACGGAGACAGAGAGACAGAGACAGAGAGCGAGAGAGACAGAGAGAGACAGAGAGAGACAGAGAGACAGAGAGAGGCTACACCACACAGAACAGACGAGACCGATAGTGGAAGGTGAATTAGACAAGCCCGAGAGACAAATAGACCGGCAGACAGATTGGATAGATAAGACAAGCACAGACATCGTGCCCAACACAGATGTATATGGGGGACATGATTTTGCGCGCAGAATTTGAAGTTGGTGGTCTGTAGCTGTACATGTGTATCGCCGGCTGTCGGAAGACTTGGTTCCGCCCGCTGTTATCCCGCCCGCTTGTTGGAAGTGTTTGTGGGATATTTGGTTCATGTTCGGACCCGGCGTGTTTGGCCGTTCCTCCTACCTCCAGTTGATCAACTCGCCACTTTGGCTGGTAGGTACACCTTTGTCAACCACACGTCATGAAAACTTAACATGTCGCACTTTGGCAAAAAATGCCCCGGTCCACCCCAGCTTCTTCGCAGCCCCCTTGGGCACGGGGCTAGCGCGGAAACAATGGGTGGTGTCCAGACATCCGTGTCATGCGTACGGTTTGGCCGCTGTCGCAGGCAACAAAACACACACACCTCAAACAGCCGAAAGCAGAAAACAACCCTGCACCCCTACAGGGAGCATCAGCACCTACGAACCCCCGACAGTGTGGCCTAGACTGGGGCCGTCAATTCCCGTTGGCCGCAATATTGGTTTTCTCGTGTGAGTGTTCAACCGTCTATAAAACAACCCAAAGTTGAATAACAGTTATATCAACACGAACATATTTCGCAAAAAAAAATGTAGATTTGGCGAGAACAGCAAAATAAATAAATGATGCTTCACAACAGCTAAAAACAGGGCTCACAAACGGTTCTCAAGGTTCTTCATGTTTGATATGCTGCTGTTGAGGACGACGTTCTTGGGTGCGGGCGCAACAGTATCTGTATCGGCAGCAAACCTACAGCAGTACACATCGAGTTTGAACGACCGATGAAAACGAACTCTGTTATTTTGAATCTCTTGAACGGCCCAGGTTCTGCCGCTGATGATGCAGTTGTATACAGGACACTCCACCACTGAAAAGGAACTAATCTCTAGCTTGTTACCCTTGTGTTGTTTGTTATTTTCTCTGTGGGACACCGTAAGAGGCAGAGATATGGCACCCCCCTTTGACCGACTTTCAAATCTCGATTGCTCCACAACCAAGGGAGCACGGAAATAGGCCGATAATTCTACGGCAAGCCCTCGGCGAGATGTTTCCAAAACCCGTCATTTTTGAAATTGGCACAACCTTTGTCTTGGAGCCAATCGAGTTGTGAAAATCGGTCTAACGGGGGCGCCATCTCTCCGCCCCTTGCGGTAACCGACTTACGTACGTACGTTTTAGTGTGGGACTCTCCACTGAGCACCTGTTCATATGGTCCATGTAGTTGGCTCACTTTCGCAACTACCAATGTCATTGAGTGATGGAGCGTGGTGCTATACATAACTTTCGTTTTTGTAGCAGTGGCGGCAGCAATTGGTGCTCTGCACGTTTGCGCTAACCGCCTGTTGGTACAGCCCTTTTTTTTTTTTTTGTGGCTGCCCGGTTGACGGTCGCACGATACCAAGGCAAGCAAACACGGGGAGTCGACCCCCCCTTGGCCAGTCTGCACCTGGGGATGGCGTGGTACTTGAGGAGGATGGCAGGGTCGTTGAGTAACACACCCACCATGTTCACAGAAAGAGCTTTCGTATTTTTACACAGCGGAAAGTACCAGGGATTGAGTACCCTCCCCCCCCCTCCCTCCTTGTGCTTTCGTTGCGTAACCCCCTCGGCAAAATCCTATACCCCCCCCCCCCCCCCCCCCCCCCCCCCCCCCCCCCCCCCCCCCCCCCNATGCATCCATGTCTTTGGCGGACTTTGATCCGCGGGAAGCGCAGCGGGTGTGCAGGGAGTGTGAGCACGTGCTGGCACCGCTGCAAGCGGATCTACAGGTACTGGTTGACTGTTGTTGTTGTTGTTGTTGTTGTTGTTGTTGGTGGTGGTGGTGGTGGTAGTAGTGGCGATGGCGGTGATAGTGTGCTGTTGTCGTTGTTGCAGTCTTGTTGCTGTTGACGGTAGTGATGATGGCATCTGCCTGGAATACGAGACAGGTATGCGGCTGGTACCGAAAGCGTGCTCGCGAGGACCGTTGTGAATGACGACGGGAGTCACTCCACACATATCTCTCGTTCGCCAGGCTCCGAACGTGCTCTCACTTGAAGTGGCTTCACGACACACTTGTCCTGACATCAAGTCTTTGCCGTATCTACCATGAAAGCATCGGAAACGGCGTGATCAGGATCCACCCCCTGCGGCTCGTTTTAGGGCGACTCATGTGCCATGAGCGCCTGTTGTGTATTGACTGATTCGGTCTCCTGGTAGCAGCACCAAGAATAGCAACAACCGATAGGCTTTGGCTGTTTTGGCGTCGGCGCCACGCTGCTTGTGCTACATGAAAGTTTGGGCGTTACAGACATGCGGTGTGTCTTGTCGGCGTCTCCAGTGTAGCGGCCGTGAGCAAGTGTACTGTGGATTGGTGATTAGTTTCTTCGGTGATAGGTTTTTAGATAAACTCATGAATTGCGACAAGCTCTATGTTATGTTCTGCCCGTGTGTCGCGTTGATGCACGATGCTGACGCACGGCTCTCCCCGTTCTTTTGTAACGTAAGTCCCCGCCTTTGTTGCTCTTGACGTGTTTGTTCGCTTCGTTGTCACTTTTTTTTCTTTCTTCTCCTTGCAGCTAACGATGACGCACGCTGCGATGCCCACCCATTACAGCAGGGCCTCAGTGGAGCGGTGAGTT